AGCCCGATTCAAGCCCGACATGTCAAAGACTTTATGAAAAATCTTGAGCCACAGAACCAAAACGAATCCATTCGACGTATGTGATAATCGTCAGACCAAAGATCCAGTTTGGAGCAATAGCCTGGAGGCCGAAAGCTTCACAGCAAACAGCTCAGGTGAAGCTCTCTAGTTATCTCTGGTATCTTCTGCACCAGCTGCTATATAAATTCTTCTAGACCTATCTTTCAACCATATCTTTCTGGGAAAGAGTTAGTGTACAGAGGCGGGTTGCCTGGATATCTTTGGTATTTTCTGTATTAGCGGCTATGTAAATTCTTCTAGACCTATCTTTCAACCATATCTTTCTGGGAAAGAGTTAGTGTACAGAGGCGGGTTGCCTGGATATCTCTGGTATCTTCTGCACCAGCGGCTATGTAAATTCTTCTAGACCTACCTTTATACCATATCTTTCTGGAAAAGAGTTAGTGTACAGAGGCGGATTGCCTGGATATCTCAGGTATCTTGTGCACCAGCGGCTATGGAAATTCTTGTAGACTCAACTCTATACCGTATCTTTCTGGGAATGAGTTAGTGTACAGAGACGGGTTGCCTGGATATCTCTGGTATCTTCTGCACCAGCGCGGCTATGTGAATTCTTGTATACCTACCTCTATACCATATCTTTCTAGGAAAGGGTTAGTGTACAGAGGCGGGTTGCCTGGATATCTCTGGTATCTTCTGAACCAGCTGCTATATAAATTCTTGTAGACCTACCTGTATACCATATCTTTCTGTAAAAGAGTTAGTGTACAGAGGCGGGTTGCCTGGATATTTCTGGCAACTTCTGCACCAGCGGCTATGTAAATTCTTGTATTCTTATAGACCTACCTCTATACCATATATTTCTGGGAAAAGGTTAGTGTAGAGAGGCGGGTTGCCTGGATATCTCTGGTATCTTCTGCACCAGCTGCTATGTAAATTCTTGTAGACCTACCTCTATACCATATCTTTCTGGTGAAGAGTTAGTGTACAGAGGCGGGTTGCATGGATATCGCTGGTATCTTCTGCACCAGCGGCCATGTAAATTCTTGTAGACCTACTTCTATACCATTTCTTTCTGGGAAAGAGTTAGTGTACAGAGGCGGGTTGCCTGGATATCTCTGATATATTCTGCACCAGAGGCTATGTAAATTCTTGTAGAATCACCTCGACACCGTATCTTTCTGGGAAAGACTTGGTGTACAGAGGCGGTTTGCCTGGATATCTCTGGCATCTTCTGCACCAGCGGCTATGTAAATTCTTAAAGACCTACCTCTTTACCATATCTTTCTGAGAAAGAGTTAGTGTACAGAGGCGGGTTGTTTGGATATCTCTGGTATAAATAACTTCACTGCTCACTGCCATATATCATTTTGTAAGAAAATAAAAAAAATGAGAAACATTTTTTTTCACAGAATGACAATTGGTTATTTCCATTCATTATTCCACTATTCAAAAAAAGGGATGAAATTCGTTTGTTTATAACATTTTTTCAATTGCATAAAGAAATAATATGAGGGTCTTACCGAAACCGAGTAGAAAGAGAAAGAGTTCTGACCACATTCAAAATTCTATTACTATTATTATTATCACTCAGTTTTCATTCGTAAATATCAATCTGAACAGGGTTGAACTTATGGTATTCTGATTACTTTTCGGTACAGGTCACAGAAACGTGAGAATCAAGGTTATATTTCTCATCATCTTTTCGATGATCATTATAATTAGATTCATCCGATAAGCAACGGAAACCATTAAATAACTATTAAGTTTCACGTCGAAATCCTGATACCGTTAATCTGAATCGCAGGAATTGAGCAGTTGGTCAATCGTTGTCTCAACCGTTAAACACACATACTCAAGGTCATTTTTACTACTTCAATCATTGGACCAAGGTCTTTTGGTGGCGAGAGTTCTTGATTTAGAATTTCACATTAATTTTTTCGGTCACCACTCTTTTACCTATAACAACACGGTTTTGAAACGTGACTAGCAGTGGCCAAGGTAATTATATTAATCAATTCAAATTTCAGGAAAGAGTTCTTGTTTAGTTTCTCCATATAAGCTTTCATAATTTTTGTCTGGAACATTGAATTTCTTACTCTATTGAATCTTTGGATTTCAATTTAGTTCGATTCAAAAATCATCTTGTCAACGTGGAATATTGAAAATTATATGCCATTTTCTATTTTGAAGATGTTCAAAAGTATTTTTAAATTGAATACTTTTTTATTTTTCAATGTTCCGTGTTATTAGATGGACCTCTTTTCTACCCAACATTTCAAAACAATACTATTATTACTAGTTTAGAAGTTCCATTTCATCACTGAATTTTTAATATGCCAGTAGTTTGAATTACATAAAATATATCCACCCTCCTCAAACTCAATCACAATTTCTAAACACCAAACCCACGATTTTCTACGTCACATACATTGAACCTAAACTTGACATTTCAACTTACCATTCCCAAACTTCTTGACATACAGTTATCAAATCCACAACCCCATAACAACGAACCTCACACTCACAACAATCTATCTCCACCATATCCAAATATACAGAACCTTAACTCACAATTCTCAAATCTATTAAAACACAACAATGTCCGAAACCTCCAATCCCAATCCTAGAGTTTACAAAATTTAAAGTTCTCCTGATAATAATCCAACGCTAAATCCTCAAACTGAAAAAACCAATAGATACAGCTTGAACTCCAGACAATCCAACTTATTTTGACTCCACCACCCTCAACCCTGCGAACCTCCAAATCCAAACCCCACAAATCTCGAACTCACCCTTTAACGTACTACAATAAAATCCATATCTGAAATTTTTTTACGTACAATTCTCGAACAACCTCTAAAACAACGATCCTCAGACTCAAAATACTCTAACTCACAATTTCCAAAGTCAGTCTATCGAGCTCTATTCTTCGAACCCCAATCCAACACCCAATTCACAAACTGAAAAATGCCAGCCGCACAAACTTTGAACTCATGGTATTCTCGCTCGATCTGTTTTACCAGGAGAGTCAACTTTACTTTACAGCCAAGCTCTCTCTTTCTCTGTCAGTGGTAGTCCCGACCAAATGAAATTAATTTCAGCTTTTCATATATAGGAAGTAACTTGTGACAAATTTTCCAAATGGAAGACGTTGCACAAGTACCTGATGGTTTTACTCCAGCTTTCTAAGCGGGATTAACTGGGTTAGTTATTTTTTTTTTTCGTCCGGTATCTGCCACACGTACCTACAAAGTCCTATGTTCATATAAGAGGCAAGGGTGAGGTATTTTCATCTGAATTCGAGCATATTACCATTCCTGAACCCACCAGCTTCAAATCTGCAAATTTTTGACACATTATTCTGAAACCTTCAAATAATTATGCAAACCTGTAACCTGCAAATCTCACTGGAAATTTTTGAAACTACAGGCCTCAATTCTACTAACCTCACGCTTAGAACCATTAACCTCATCATTCCTATATCCACAAAATCCTGGTCTAACCCCTCTGGACCTGTACGTTAAGGAGGTTGCTTTAATGGCCATGTTACGATCGCGCACGGCTGGTGTGAACCTCGAAGTAGGAATCGTTCAATTGAGTCAGAGCATATGGCGAGAAGGACTTACTGCGCAACCTCTGGTGCAGGCAGCCAGTGAAGCAATTGAACCCAGTTTTGTGTTTAATAAATCCTACAAAATACAACTAAAACAGAATACAGAGTCAGATGCTACGAACGCAATACGCATATATATAGACGGCTCAAAAACCAAAGAAGACTCAGGATGTGGAGTATACTCCAGATCACTGAGCCTAAGGATTGAGTGGGGAATGGAAAAAAATACCAGCGTGGTTCGACCAGAACCGGCTGCTATCTCAATCGCTACAAAAAAAATAACCAGGAACATAACTATCTGCACTGGTAATAGATAAGCCCTATTAGCCTTCAACAGACAACGTGTTACCTCAGGGCTAGTACTAGAGTGCCACCAAGACTCAGCCAAAGCCTTCGTAGGTGGGTTGAAGGCACGACAGGAGTGAAGTTTGTCGCATTGCCGACTTTTTAGACGAGGAAGCGGCTGGACTAAGAATTTCAGGACCCAATGACACCTACCTACGGCCTGATGACTTCGACAACTGCTGAACTAGCCAAACGTCACAACCATGCTCAATCCTTAAAGGGATGGAATGGAATCAAAGCATACAATCCACCAGGATCACCCTGGGCGACCCTGGGAAGCTGGCGCCGAAGAAATATCTGTCGATGACCAGGAAAAATCAACGCTCAACAGTAGGTTTTCTGCCTGGCCGCTGTCAACTAAGGAAATACCTCCATAATATGGGTCTAGTGGACACACCTCTGTGGAGGATATGTGAACAGGAAGATGAAATGGTTAGGCATGTCCTATGCGAGTGTCCGTCAATACGAGAGTGTGTGTTCGGCGAGTCTTGGCCTACACCTGCCGATATGAAGGAGATATCTCCCAGTGACCTGTCCACCTTCCTGGAAAAAACAGGATGGACGATGACAATCGGTCACATGTGGCCTAAGTGCTGTGGGCCTATACCACCCACTCTACAGTTACAGATATATATCCACAAAATCCTAATGAATATTCTCAAATTCATCAAACTGCAAATCATAATTTCCAATTCCATGATTTCTAAAACTTGGAAATCCCACACACATAAGCAAAACCCATGAAATCATTAGGTACTCTAATTTATTTCCAAAAAACATTTTCACATACAATTTTTTATCTTCCCAATCCCACAAACATTGAATCTACTATTGGCTAACAAGAAATTCAATACCACTTTGGGAAAACATCCATTATGATAATGTTATTTACCTTACTAGTGGTCAAAGAACCACTACAAGCTCAACTTTCATTGTAATATCCCACAAGCAAACTCCCTTGTGATTTTTCTTCTATGTACCGCGCAGCTAAAGACAAATTCTTTCTTTGCATCTGCAGCACCGATGCCGTGATGCCCATGATCCCCCTGGGTTTGAAGGAGACGAAGGAAATAGACCTACGGGATCCCTTCAAAGATTTCATTTTGGAACACTACAGCGAAGACGCTAACCAATACGAAGATGCCATTTCGGATTTCATGGACACAAGGCAAGCAATGCGTACCCCCTTGAGGGACGCTTCTGGCATAGCTCTGCTCTTCAGATATTATAACCAGCTGTACTTCGTGGAAAGGAGGTTTTTTCCACCAGACAGATCTTTGGGGATATATTTTGAATGGTTCGATTCATTAACAGGTGAGACAATACATTTTTTTAATGGTGAATTTTTGAAAAATTTATGATAAACCGTCATTCTTGAGACTCTGCAAATTGAGTCAACAATTTAGAACCAGGGCTACTTGTGATCCAACATCATAAAGTGTTGAAAGATATAATTAATCATTCAGTTTTTGATTTCAACTCATTGTATGGATTCATCTCAGCAATATTTTCTGCTACTAATAATAATTACAATCTAGATCGGGCTAAATAGGCGTCTTATTGCTTCAAATAACTAGCAAATTTCAACCCAATCGGTGTGGAGATATTTATGATATTTCATAAACACCGTTTTTTAAACTTCGACGCCCCAGATTGCAGAAACGAAGCAACTCCAGACATGTGTTCATAGAAACTATTTTTCTTGAAACGACCCAACGAATCACCCTCTGGAGTTTTGTACCGTAGTTACAAAACACCCTGTATATTAACCACCAAAATTCAGTAGAAACATTTCATTTCGTTTAATGAATACTTTATAGTTCACATTTTCAGTAAAAAAATAATATCAACTAATATTTTAATGTTTTTTTAGGTGTGCCATCTTGTCAAAGGACTGTAGCTTTTGAAAAAGCATGTGTACTATTCAATATAGGAGCTGTATATACCCAGATCGGAGCCAAACAAGACAGATCCACCGCCAAGGGATTGGATGCCGCAGTCGACAATTTCCTCAGGGCAGCAGGTACTTTTAGGTACATCAATGAAAATTTTACGAATGCCCCTTCGATGGACTTGGGACCTGAAATGCTTGAAATGTTTGTACAGTTGATGTTGGTAAGTTCTTACATTTGAATAATTGAAGAGTTCTTTAGTTGAAAAAGCCTGATGTGTTCAAAATCTCAGGAGATTCAAAATATACTGAGTACTGCGTATTTCACAAATTTTCAAAGGCCAATTTCTTCCTTCTGTATATATTTGACTATATTATTTTCAGGTTTGGCTGTTGCTAAGTTATTTCATAATTTTCTTTCTGTGTTGATATTCTGTTTTCATCAAATGTACGAACAATCCAGTATGCCCACTCAATTTGTGAAGTTTTCTTCCTCATAAGAGGAATTGGGCAAATTTGGATATGCGGTTGGTTACCTCGTTCACAGGCAGATGGGGCGATGACAAATATGTTGTTTGTCGTTCACTTTTGCCTAGTTCAAGGAAAGATACTCTAAAAGGAATTCGATTTTCAATTATGGGAAATCAGCGACTTCATGTTGATGATAAACACTACCTCGCACTAATGAGTGGTCAAACGGCTTGAAACCGGTGTCTATAAATGTGTTTCAATAATTGAAAATCGATTCCGATAGTTGTATCGACAACAGCATATGCGGAAATAACTTCATTGAAGAATTCTGCATTGACACCTGTCGGATATAATCCAACGCCCTTCGTGGTATTAGCCAGGGGAGTAGTTGTTTTATGTCCTTTCAGATAATTTGAACAATCTAGAGATTCTGAAGCATAGTGTTTTGACTGAAGCTTTGGATATACTGGCTTATTCACTTTCCGTTTTAATGATAGTGAGGTATACTTCATAAGAAATGATTTCAGGCTCAAGCGCGAGAATGCCTCCTGGAAAAACTTCAACTGCAATCCAGAGAAAAAAGGTCTGTAGACATCTGCCTCGACCTATCACAGGAAGCGGCCCATTTGGCCGAATGTTACAACGACGTTCATCTTCTGATAGCTAACGATGCAGTCAGAGATTTCGTGCCGTACAGCTGGACGTCCTTGGTGCAAGTCAAGAGGGAGTACTACACAGGGCTAGCTCATAACCACGTCGCTGCTGGGATTTTGCATAAAGAAGCTTCCTGTATGTCGGATGCCACGAAAGATACACTGTTGTATATGCACTCCGAAGCCGGTTCTGCTCAATTGGACATCAGGATGCCCAAGGATTCCACAGAAAGGAGACTACTAGGTGAGTTGAAGAACGAATAGTATTCCGTACGATTCTGATGCATCGCTAATGCTTCTTCGGTTCGAATATTTTATTTGATGTGAATAATCCACTCTCTCGACTAAGATCCATTTTCTTTTCATTTGAGAATGCCATTTTGGATTCAGTTTTTTCCAGAATCTCAATAGGAGGGTCATTTTTTTAAATTCAAAACAAGAACTTAAATATTGACGTTAGAGTTGGAATAAGTTCAATCTGAATGTTCATCATTGTTTTTTCTCGAGGATTCCATTTCCTCTTATATTCACTTTGAGATATTTTAGCTCAGCAAAACGAAGGTATTTGGGTATTTTCACTATCGATGGTTTTGTGAAAAGCAGTGGTGGTATTTTTAAGGCCAAAAGGCAATCATTCGATTTTGCGTCCTTGAAATATTACTGGAAGAAAAACGACATCGACTCCATACAAAAGGTGTACGAGTATTTGCAAAATCATTTCGATTCAATACATCATAATTATCTTCAATTATAGAAAATATAATTTGGATCCTTTTTTCAGGAAGAGCACATTTTCGAGAAGCTTTGGTTCTGTTCGAAGAAGGCCAAAGATTGCATCGGATGTGCAGAGAACTAAGAGGAAAACATGCTTTGACAGCTGTCTTGAGGAATGCACATAAAGCAGCCCTACATGCGTACACAGCGACGGAGACAGAAGATGACTTCAGTGATCTGTTAGATCCACCTGATATTCAAGGTGAGTAAATGATGCTTTTCAATTCCTTGAGTGAATTTTCATAATGATGAGATAACGTCCACTGAACATTGTCTTATTTCAGCTGCAACGAAGTTTCAACTCTCTCTCACCGCCCCAGATTTTGCACAGTATCGAGTTAGCGATTTGTTCAAGAGTTTGGGGCCTATAGCCATATTTTCGGCCAAGAGGCATTGGACCGCTCCGAGACTAGTTCAGCTGCATCGTGGAAGGGCTTCTGAAGGATTTGGATTTTCTCTCAGAGGAGACGCACCAGTCATAGTAGCAATTGTTGACCAAAACTCACTAGCAGAGGTAAAAAAATACACTCATACCTAATGCGTCTATAAATGTTCATCAAAGAGACTTGAAATTTCTGCTACGATAACCAAATGTATCGTACTGTATGTATGTACTACAGACTAAACTGATAGGCCCACATTGAAATTCCAAAACGAGCTCACCAAAAAACTTATTGAGAAAAATGAATGTTTTCGCATATTAACTTATATAATATTTCTGTTTCAGTCTGGTGGTATCAAAGAAGGCGACTTTATAGTAGCAGTAGCGGATAAAGACGTTAAATGGTCTTCTCATGATGAGGTAGTAACTTTGATAAAGAATGCAGGAGAATGTGTGAGTTTGAAATTGGTTACACCCATGGACAGAAATTATTTAAAGGTGAGTTGATCCGGGCAATATTTCCAACTTTGATATTCCGTTCATAGCCTCAAAAACTTGCTGATCCACATTTTCACCAGAGTGGAACAAAAGTTTAGACTCCCCTTTTGTTGTGGGAAGTACCACCATGGAATGTACGATTTGAGATGCAAACTCCTATGGAAATGCAATATTTTTTAGATCTTCACGTCTAGTTAATACAGCTCCTCTCGAGTTCCCTTTACTACTCCAAACGGGTAGAGTAAGATCGGCATATTTATTGCAGCAACTTTGTTCTTCTCCGATAGTTTTGTTAGTCAGATATGTCGGAGTTTGTGTTGGTACTTGCTGCGGAGAGAGTTCTCCACAGCAGTTGCGTTGTTCCACCCCAAGGTATGTGTTTCCCCAGCATCCAGATGGTACAGGATACTTCCGCTTTCGAGCTGCACAATCTCTCCTGCATCATTTTTCCGCAGAGACAGTTCTCACCACTGAGGTTATCTCTTGGTAGTGCAGTTGTTCCACATAAAGGTAACTATACGTCTCCCAGGCATCCAGGTGGTGCAAGATGATTCAATCTACGAGCTGCATATCCTTTCCGTAGTCCCCGCATCATTCTTTTTTTTAGATGGACTGTTGCACATGCGTCTTTTGGGTTCTTAATAATACTGATATTATCATCAATTTCATTATTTATATTGATATTATTCATTACAAATTTTCATATTTCAGCCGACTAAACCTACTAATAACAACAAGGGATCTGTTTCAACCCACAGCAGTAGCTCAGGTGTTTCAAGTGGAATGTCTAGTCCATCTGGATCCATGGCTCAACATAACAACAATAAAAAGTTGAACTGGAATCCCTTCAAGAAAAACACTTCATCTCGAGATGGAAAAGACTTTTTCGAAAACGTGATACTGCGATAAAAAAAAAGTTGGCATTCTACCAGAGCCCTACTGAGTGTTATTATATTCACTAGTACCATTTTTTTAGGTGTTCGAACATAGATAAAGTATTGAAAATGTATATTTATCCACACTTTCTTTATCTATTGCGAAAAAAGAAGCCGTAAAAATGTGATGCTAGAGATTTCGTGATCAGTGCACTTGAAGGTTTCTAGAACTTTTCATTGACAGACGTTTATGTCACTGACTTCAGTAAACAATCCCAAAATTGTCTTCACAAATTTTGGTGCTTTGTAAAAAATCCATTTTCCACTCTGTACATGAAATGTAGGATATTTTCCAGTTAATTCATTTTAAGTTAGTGAAACTTTGAAATCGATAGTAATACTAGGCAGGACTTCAATAGCTTGAGTCAAAGTACTGAGATGATATTTATATTCATGTGTATAATATTTCATAGATATATTTTTCGAATGAGTTGATCTGTTATTATTCTTCTTCAATTTCGTCAGTCGTTGAAGAAAGACAGTCGAATGGATGTACCTTATGTTAACAGATATGAATCAGTCACGATATATTTTTGTTGTTATATTTATATTCTGAAATGAGAAATTATATTTTAGTCAATAACCATCTTGAGTTTCATTTGTCCTATGACTTTCATAAAAGGCCCCCCTTTTGAGGAGCTTTGTGGTAACCTACAACACGTGTCATTTTACAGGTCTGATCATTCTATTTATGAATTCATTTTGTCAATTATGTTAGTTATGAGTTTTTTTAGTTTATATTCTACATTTTCAATGATTCATTGTTCGAGGTATCCTTTGGATAATAATTGAGTATTGAATATGATATAATGTGTTAGGAATCACACGTTAAAAGGTAAGACCTCGTTAGTCCTTAGCTCGCACAAGTTTCTCAACTATGGGGGAGACAGCTGATTAACGGAATAACGGATTTTAAACAGAACAGAAACAGTGTAGTATTTATGGATGCCTCAGAAAAAATATTTTGAAATCCCTACAACTTTCTTAAAACTATCTCAGTGGTAGGACCAAAGTTGAAATCGGTAAAACCCAAAATTCAACATCAATCCTATATATTGGTGTGCCTCAAGGTTCTGTAATGGGTGCAATATTGTTCCTTGTATACAGAAACAATATTTGCCGCATTGATAATTTTCAAGGTCACATTTCATGTCATGCCGATGATTTTCAAAGGCAACCACTGGAATGAAACTATTCACACAGCTGAGCAACATTTGAGGCAACTCAAATCATGGCTAAATAACAACAAATTGAGTATGAATATTTTTCTGATTATGGCCCAAAATTTTTCAACCTTCTTTCTGAAAACTGTAAATGGTATAAGAAAATTCAAAACTGTCTTGAAAAACTGTCTTGCAAAGAAACCAAATCCGCTTTTAAAATGAATACTGTTTCACCTCTGCTATCATTCGCCGATCACTATATTTCATTTTGAAGTTTTCCTAGCTCTCCTACCAACAACTCACTAAAACGACTAGGATAGCCTTCCAATTTCACTCATTGTATTTATTAGGCATATTCATTATATGTATTTGAGATGTAAATGATTTGTAATCATGCTGAACAGACAGGAAAGCAAGCAATACAGGTATATTTCATACATTAGCGAGATAACTCTGTAGTCATATATAATTGCAAGTCTGCATTGAATGGATGTGCGTGTGCGACTAACTAGCCTTTGGCCAGTATTACGAGAGGAGTTCTTACCACTACATATTTCAGTTAATCAGACGTCAAGCACGTACGTTACCATAGAAAAGTATGATTCCAAAGATGAATTCGCTCCATTGTTACCTCAGCTAGCTTTGGATCTCCGAGTGTCATCACATTTGAGACAAGATCCGTACGATCTCCAGTGTCGAGGCATACTTGTTTGAACGATCATGTGGTATCTGTGGTCTATAATTTCCATCATACAAGGCCACTAATTCACACAAGATTATTTATATAACACATCAGACATGACCCACATGATAATTTAAACACTCCAGAATTTTCCGAAACTGAACTTTTACCTTTGCTACCTTTGTTATTCTCATTGTGCATGACTGAGTTGTTGTTGGTTTTGAAAGCAATATTTACACCTTCGTTGTGCAGAACATTTGAAATATTCGTAGTGGGTTAAGGTTAATTTCACTAGTTCGGACTTCCATTGTCTACTATATAAAATGATTTGAAATCCCTGAAACAAGTAAAAACTTTCACAATGGAGAAGGAAATCCACAACGAATTGCCATTCTTAGACGTTTTGGTGAAGAGGACCGACACTAAGTGGGAAACATCTGTATACCGAAAACCCNCTGAGAGTTGTCGTTCGTATGGGGGCGATAACTGATTAGCGGAAAAACAGATTTTATACGACTGCTATCGTAATCATTGTTGACACAACAAAGGTGTAAATACTGCTTTCAAAATCAATAACAAAGATGAAAGTTCAGTTTCAGAAAAATCGGGACTCTCCGATTTTTCTGAAACTGAACCCACATGTATATATACATGTGGGTCATGTAATATATACATGACCCACATGTATATATTATCATGTGGGTCATGTCCAATGTTTTATATAGGTCAAACTGGAAGAACGTTTAAAGCACACATAAAGGAATTGAGAAATAGTTTCCAGAATGAAACAAATAGTCCACATATATTACAATAATGATAACAATTCATTCTCCTGTTGTTTTACATTTTTGTACATACATATGACACAGTGCAGAAGATAAGCGGGGAAGGGAAATAAATGGGCAAACCTACAGAAGATCAAGTCTGTGTGTAGAGAATTGCCACCCATTTATTCAGACGCCTGAAACACAACAACAGCCTCAGACCTTCCATCACTTTCACAACGGAGAAGGAAGTCCACAACAAATTCCTTAGACCTACTGGTAAAGAGGACCGACACTAAGTGGGAAACATCTGAATAATGAAAACCCACTCACACGTGACAATATCTGAACCACGACTTCAATCACAATCAATCGACTAAAAGAGGAATCATCAAGACTCTATCAGACCGTGCTTTCGGGCTCTGTAATACTAAGGAAGGTCTTGAGAAGGAACCAGACATCATCAAAAATGATCTTCAACGGAATGACTACTCCAAAGCGATGGTGGAACAGACTTTGGGTAAAAGACATCAGGAGCCTCACAAGCAAAGAAGCCGTCACAACCAGTGCTTGCACTTCCCTACATCAGAGGATTATCAGAAAGGATAAGAAGAACTGTATCCAAGTACAATATCGGAAACACTATTCATAGCAGCCTCACCAGGTCACCACAGCGAAGGGAAACCAGCAAATCAGGAATAGCAGAGCATGTTTGGACCCTTCAACATAACATCGAGTGGTCCCAAGCTGAGATCATACACAGGGAGGAACATTGGTTTAGGACGAAATTCAAAGAAGTCGCATACATGTTGTTCAGCAATGTATTCAGCCAAGCTAGCGTAGAGATACACAACATATGGAAACCCTTAATCAAGCTAAAAATGGCCAACTCCCGCCAAACGGTCATCTCCCACTAAACCGGTGAAACAAAAAAGGGAAGCGGAAATAAATGAAAGTACTCGAATGACCCATAAGTAGTCATTTCTCGGAAAAATTAGTCCAGTCATTACCCCAAGACGATTGTGGATACTAACAATTGAAACGTTGTGAAGTAACTTGGCTTGGAATCTGAATCATCTTGGAATCATTTCGGCAACTGATGACGTTAACTTGATTGGTAGTACACTATTCGCGAATAGTATTATAGCTTTGTTAACAACAGGTTTTTTTTAGATGGCTAGTGTGTCGCCTTCTTTTCTGTGTCCCTGATGTTCAAAAAATTGTTAATATAATAATAGATGGTTGAATCCTAAACTTTCTGTTCCTAGATGAATACTGAATGAAGGAACCGAATATCAGGGTAACAAGAATCAATACCTAACGCTTGAATAAAAGCGGTAGAGGACGATTCACAGCAACATGTACGACTAGATAAAGTTAATTTTAAAGTTAATGCGTGAAATCCCTTTCAACAACATCGTAAACAGAGAAAATATATAAAATCCACAATCATCTACAATATACTGCACAATTGTTCAATTGATCAATAATGAAGTGCCTGTCATACCAGTTATGAATAATTCGAAGAAGTGGGTTCAAAGTCCATGAACTCAAGATGATTACGATTGCTCTTCAATTATTATGATTAATCGTTTTTCATTTTGTTAATTTCTTGAAATGTTCGATTTGATGTTAATATTATCAAAAAATTGAAATAAAACAAATTTCTGAACTCAATTGTTCAATAATCATTTCTAGATGTAAAATATGACGTCACACTAAAGAGAGTGTCTCAAAATGTGACCAGCTGTGACAAGAACGGGGGTTGAGACTCATGAAATTCGTGTGACGTAATTTATAGATAACCCCTTAGATTTCCCATATGAGTCCATATGAGTTCACAATTTCTGTTATCAATCCCTCGATATTCCTACAGCTTCAGCCCCTCCTAGGCATCCACCACTGGCCGAGCGTCTTCTGACGTCACAGTGCGGCGCTTGCCCGTTACCGCCGATCCGAAGATCGATTTTATCATCGCTTGCACTGTGTGTGTGACTTACGTCAAGCATGCAGTCTAACCATTTCAATTACCGTATCTATTTATGTGCGAGTGTGGTGTCGTAGTAGTGAAATCGAAAAACTATTCGCGGTGGAAAGTTCGTTACGCGTTATCGCTTTTCGAAAAAAGCACTCTCAGTTTCGAGTGGGGAAAAATGCGTGTCTACGGTTGAGAAGGTAGAGTGCGCCAAATTGATTGTTTTCTAAAGGGAAAAGGAATGATAGGTACACGACAAATGGGTGCTTATGTGATACATTCCTCGACCCGTTATTAAATTCTTTGAGAAACTGAGTGCATAGAGAATGGACATGTCCAAAAGCATGGTTCACGGTGTTACTCTAATGGAGGAGAATTCTGCTCCTTCCGCATTTTAGTGATACAGGAATTGTTCATCTACTCATTTGCTTGGGTAATCCCTAGCAAGCCACTTCACTGCTTAGTTAACCCTCCAAGATCAATGAAAATCTTTTCTGTGAAGCTGAAACATTTATCAACATAGTTTACATGAAATAATTCAATTAACTTGTTCAAGATTACTAGAGGTAGTAAATTAATTTACTCGTTTGCTCAAGAGGTAGTTCAATCAGTTCCAACTCGAACTTGATACGTTTATAACAAAAATGCAAGATCCAATACTGTTTTTATATTTTACTTCCTGTTCTATGGATAAATATGGATGAAAGGATATAAAATGATATACCTACTCACAAGCATGCTCATCAATTTTACTCTAATGGTGGTGCTTCTTGGATCTTTGGAACTTTGATGAAATGTTAATTGTATATCAACTCATTTTCTTGGTCTCCCATAGCAGCTCTTCCCTAGCAAGTATAGCAACTATGAAAAATGCCCCTCCAGAAATTTTTCTTCTAGTCCTTCCAGTTCAACCTGAAACCACACGAATTTTCATTCATATGAGCTGAACGGATAACGAGTATGTTTTTTATTTGTAATATACCGGGTGATTCTTTAAGGT